GAACTTTTATCTAACCTCTTTTTTTCTATTGCGCCACACGTCTATTGATCGATATATATCGTTATTGAATTATCGCCCAGCCCTAGTTTGCATTAGCAATTAGCCATTGGCACCAACCGGTTTCTCTGTCAGTAGGGATGTTATTCATTCAATAGCTGTTCAAAGGTTTCTGAAACAGGCTTTCTGTGAAATTGTAGTTTTAAAAAGGGTAGAGAGCGACTCTGGATGTGGCTCTGTCCTCCCTGCTGTGATTTCTACCTTCCAGAAATAGCAGGAAACACAATGGCTGCATAAAGAGAATTGATCATTAAAGAAACATAGTTTAAAAGAATCATGTCCAATTCATTTCCTGAAAATGCTAGTTTTGCCATAGACCATCAACTGCTGATTTGAACCTTAGATCCCCAAAATCCTGCTCAAATCTACTTTATGTTGTTAGTTTTAAGGTTAAAATGATTGCCAGAAAAGACCATGGCTGTATCATTAACAGTTTTTATGGTTCTGGGTCATTTCCATTTGCTATAGTTGCTTTCAAGCTGAAGTGACACCTGTGGAGCTTCATTATACTCCACTGTCTGGAATATCAGGAAGTGACCCTCTTTAACCCACTAACAAACTAACATGCTTGCTTTTTAAAAATGAAATGATTATTATTTATCTTGATTAGTTCACATTAATTTCTTCAGTCCCCCAAATTAGATTGGATGATAAAATAGTGGGAAACGGTTCCCTTCAGAGCTGTCCGGTGCTGAAGATTTTTTACTTCCTACATTAGAATAGAATCGAATAGAATAGAAAATCCCTTTATTGTCCCACAATGAGGAAATTCTGGAGTTTACAGCAGCAAAATTATTATAGAAAAGAAAAAAATGGTTACACAAATATGGACCTTAGAAAAGTGTATAAGAATAACGTAATAGTGAAGAGTTAAAAGATAAAAAATAAAATGTTGTTCTGTAAAGTGTTAATAATATATTTAAAAGAAATATATCTACTTTCTCAAAACTGGGTCGCTCCTTCTATAGATATTGATAATCTAGAGTCTGTCCAGTTGGAGCTCAGTTTGCTTTTAGAAAAAACTCTGATAGAGACATGGATGAAGACAAGAGAGGAAAACAGCAGATGGTGGATCTGATTCTGAGATGCAAGTAATTCCTCATCCTTTCTTTCTTTATTAGATTTTATATTTACATTTTCATCATGTTTCAAGTCCTTTACACATTTAAATGCTGTTTGCAGCTTTAATACCAGAGCTCTAAAAGTACCGAGCTGCTTTTGCAGAACATCTGTTTAGTTTAATCTACATTATCCTCTTTGATGTTTTAATTTAGAACAAAATTAGTCCTAGTCAGTATTTATAATGTTTTCTTTACCAACAAAGTGAACAAAAGAGGAAAATTGAGCTATTTTCTGGGCATAGAAACAGATTTTTAAGATTAAGTTCTAAAAGTTATCTTGAATCATTTGATGCAAAAACTTAATTTTTATTAATTATAAAATAGAAGCTGTACTTTTTCACTGTAACATAAGTAAATTCTTTATTCTAAACTTCAATTGAAATATTTATAACATTATTTTATGTGACTGATCAAAGTAGTCTGAGTTGGTTGAAATGAAGTGTGAAAATGGTCACAGAAAATTGTCATGTGCATATGGATCAACCCTCCATGCTGTAACGCCCATGTAAAGTCCTGGTGAAACCAATAATCTGAAAACCCCCCACATCCTGAAATAAAATCTACATGTGAGCATCGGTCTGAAAGTAGAAAGGCATTTTTTCTGAAAGGCCCCTGAAGCTGTAGAACCACTAAGATAGATGCAGAGAAATATAGACCCATCAAGACCAAGGAGCTCCCCAAGTAAATCAGGGACGTAGAGAAGTACAAGTAAGGGAGGGGTTATTAAAAAAACAAAATCTCTAAAGTTCCCCCAGAGCAGAGACGAATTCATCACCTTCAAATTGAAAGCACATGGTAGCACAACAAACCTGCCCAGAGAGAGCTGCCTGCCAGAACTCACAGGCATCAATCAGAGAGGGAGCAGAGACCCAGGGTGACCCTGAAGGAGCTCCACAGTGCAGCGAACCTGCTCTGCACTGCTTAGAGTGGGACTTTATGGAAAGGTGGCTGGAAGGAGGCCATTAATAACTGTAGAAAATAAAACAGGCTCTTGGGTTTGCCAAAAGGCTGCTGGGTGATTTCCTAAATGCATAAAGGAAGCTGCTCTAATCAGAAGAAGCCAAAATGAAAATGACCCAAAGCCACTTGCAGCTGCCTCAAAGGTTGCTCTACAA